CTGTGATATTTCTGAGCTGATCTGATCAGTTTGTTCTCAAAGCAGAAAAACCAAATCAAACATGTTCAGTGTGTTTAACATCGCTGGTAGGTTTAATGTCGGCGTCACATACTGAGTTTAAGGAAGTCCATTTGGGAATGAATGAGCTTTACTTGATACAGTCGTGACTTGATCATCGGACACTAAATGTTAAACCTTTTTTTATGTCGGATAGCAAGGCTGTCGGATTGTCAAGACGGAGGTCGAGATACAAGGAGGGCTTGCTGCTTGAAGGGTCATTTGTTGTTAATATTCATTGTTCATAGTTGTTATAATACCCAGTAGTGCTCCGAATAGCACTTTCTGGTCTCTGGATATTCAGGACCAATTAATGATGAATATCCAAATATTCGGCGCGGTCTGGGGGGACACGTCCACCCCGGGGCAGCGCTCCGACAGGGTGGAAGTGGCCGGAACACTCAGGCAGTACTTGGCTGCTGATTCCAGTTTAGTCAGCGGTCACACTTCTGTTTCCACCATCACTGCTGCCGCCGCCACCATCCGTGTTAACTTCCATAAACACTGAGCACGCTCGCTGCGTGTGACGTCGTGTCCTCTTCTGCGCATGCGAGACACTTTTGGGTCGTATGAAATTCACACAGCAGATCACATACAAGTCGCATTTAATTGGAAATGTGAACGAACTCATAAAAAAATTGGATTTCACAAAAAAATCTGAATGTAGCATTAAGTCCTGCAGTCTGAACGTAACCAATCTGTCAGACTGTTAAGTCAGATAATACGCTGTTATCCTTATTTGTGACATAAAATGTCATGTTGGAGTCAGAATCCAAGGCTGTCGGTATGTTAAGGCTGTTTTTAATGGTTTCTGTTCGTTTTTCTTAAAAACCTGTCAGATAGCAGGTTTTCGGATTGTTAAGGATCGGATTATCGAGTCATGGCTGTATTTAGAGCAAATTCATTTCAGAATTCAAAAATGTCTCTTGGGTTAGGTTCATCTGTTAAAGTTAAACTCATTTTTCTGAAAGTCTGAACCATGAAGGAGAGACAACTCAGAAATGTATTCTGTCACTTTGACATGGTTAGAATGATGGAAATCAAATGAAAGTTTAGAGTTATTTATTTCGGAAAAATTGGGGGAAAAAAAATAAAAAATGGAATCAACATATGCAGTAAGCGAAAAATTACGCAAAATCATTTTAAACTTGCCCAAAATAGCTCGAAACTTGTCCAGAAAGACTCCAGATTTGTAAATAAATCGAATTTTGTCCAAAGTGACTAAAAATGTGTCAAATGACTTGAAACTGGTCCATAACGTGAACCTTGAACCACACATTAAAGAAGTCAGGAAACATGCTTGTCCCACTTGATACGTTCAAAGACTGTCAGAAACGTGAACATCTGATGATTCTTGTTGCTTTTACAGTTTCTGGTTTTGATGAATGGTGTCATTTTGGTGTTTATGTTTTTGTTTCCACAACCAGAAGCACAAACAGATTAAAATAACAACCAGACATGTTAATTCAAATCAAACCTGATTATTACGAATGGGTGGAGTTTAATATTCCTCGTTTCTCTCATTGCCATTGAACCAACGATATCTTATCAGTCTTCAGGTGTCACTTCGAAGCCTGTTGGTTCCCTTTACAAAAACTTAACATTTGTGTTTTATTTAATACAACAGCTCAGTAGGTTCCTACAATAGTTTTTAAACAAGCAAACAAAAAAAAACTAGACGGGACTATTTTCAGCTGCGGATTAATCCACATTTGAAACTGTAGTGAGGAATTCAGGCAGCAGGATGGTGTGTGCAGGATGAAGTTAACACAAACTACAAAGTGTGTGTTTGTGGTAATGAAGGTTATTTAGTCCAACTGTGATGAGTTTTTGTTAGTTTTGTGACACCAGAGGAGCTCTAAAGGAGTGATGAGGCTCCTGGTGTTCTCACTACTTCAGTGAACAGGATGCATTCAGGGCTCAGTGTGTGTTTCAGTGGGTTTCAGCTGGTTTAGTCTCACTGCTCTGTTCCTCCTCAGGATGGACTCAGTAAATCTGACATGGAGAAGCTCACCTTCTACGCTGTGTCGGCTCCGGAGAAGCTGGACCGGATCGGAGCTTATCTGGCCGAGAGGCTGAGCAGAGACGTGGTGCGACACCGATACGGGTCAGTGGTTCCATCCAGAGCTCCGGTTCTGTTCAGTGTTTGTTCCTTGGCGTCAGAGAGGATCTGTGGTGATAGCAGAACCAAGATATCTGTAAAACCATAGATATGTATAATAAAGGCTAGATGTCTTGTCTGCACTGCCGGCCAATGGAATCGCACGACCACACTGGCGGCCATCTTGGTACAGTCCGCTCATTCATCCATACCATTGTGTTGTAGTGGTGCATGTAGCTTTTAAACAACCATAACTTGCTCAGTTTTCTACCGATTTTCAAACGGTTTGATTTGTTATAAACGTCAGAGGTGTAGTTATGACACACTGCACTTATGGATAATTATGTTACACTCTCACAGCCAGCAACAAATAATATTTTAATTATTTTGTATCTTATTTGTATTTTTGTAAGTTGAATTGTAGCCACGTTAATACCGTTTGTAAGAAACCAAACCGTTTGTAAATCCGTCAAGATTTCAGCAAGATAAGAGTGTTTAAGTTTGTGCAGATCACTCCCCTTCCTTCACGTACCACAGGTTCTGCCAGAGAGCTTCCCTGAATCAAGATGGCCGCAGGTGATCCCATTCGAAACGCTGCCTTAAGACATCTAGCCTTTATTATACATAGCTATGTGTTAAACAGCAATTCATTACTTATAAAATCCAGATTCTTGATGTGGACATTATTTACAGTTTTGACTTGTTTTAGTGATAACTTGTATTTTAATTTTTAATTTTTTGCTTGTGATTTTACTCGATATTTGTAATTTAAGAAAACTGGGATAATCTGTAAAATAACCGTTTAAAAACATGATTTGCCATTTTTGCAAACCTTAATATACGTGTTTTTTTTATTGTTTTTCCCCCCAAAAGTAATTTAAAAACAGTGTAAATAGAGTGATTTCTTTTCATTTGCAAAAATACAGACTTTTGATGTGGTCGTTATTTCTAGTTTTAGTCAGTTTTTATTTTTATTAGTTTTTTTTACCATTACCCTGTACATTAATGTTTTTTTTTTCTGTGATTTTACTGAGATTTAACATAGTTTAATACTCGTAATTTTTCTTTCAAATAATGTCAAAAATCTGTAAAATGGTGTGATTTTTTAAAAACTGATATAAATGCAGTAAAATAGTGTCATTTTATCATAAAAAAATGTAAAAGTACAAATTACCTTTTATGAAAACACATACTTTTGACATTGACAGAATTTACAGTTTTAACCTGTTTTTTTACAGTTAACATGTAAATCAATAACTGGACCGTTAATTCATTAAAACGAGCTGAGAGACTGAACCGTCCCTCATGCGTTTCTCAGAGAAGACTGGCAGCAGCGGATCAATACCATGATTATAATGTCAGGAATTCACTTTAATTGGCTGTGATTTTTTTTAATTCCCTGAAGCCGACAGTCGCAGAATAAACCGACCCTCCATCTGTGTTGTTATAAAACCGCTTGGCGACGCCTGAAACGCTTCGTCCATCCAACAAAGTGACGTTTTCTGGTTTGTTATGTCACTCAAAGCCCAGAGCTGTCGATCGCTTTGGCAAATCCTCCGACTTCCAGATGGACTGATGGGAGTCGGATCGTTAAATGTACTGTACAGCGACGCCTGATATCAACACACAGGAGTGCTCTTAAAAGGATTTTTAACCCACTGTGAGCCTGCTCAGCCTCCGTCCTCCATGTTTGGCTTCAGCGGAACCAATAAAATCCTGTACATAGAGTTTTATGAAATATAGTTTGATTTATTAAAGCAATAAAATAAAAAAAATGCAACACTAAAGCAACTGTTTACCTTCTTAATTGTGAGTTGTCTTTACACCAAGTTTGGACTAGAGATCGACAGATTATCTCGTCTGTATTATTGTTCTCCACTAAATTTAATACACTTCAACTGAATTCTCAGTTATGTTTAGAGGGAAACGGATTTCCTGCGGATGTTTTTTTTTTTTTTTT